CTGTGGGACTTCGAGAAAAGACCATCCCTCCGAGGACTTTTCATGGAGAAAATGGGAATTGATCTGGGAAACAGAGTTTGGGAAGACCAAATTTTGAAAAAGAAACATTTCTTAATTTTTCATACTTCCATCAGGAAGTAAAAAGTGCTCGCAAAGTAGTTACACATTTGTGACTAAATAAAATTCCATCTATCCAAAATAAAAAAAGAAAATCATCTCACAATATCCCAACATAGAACGTCTCATGATATCAATACTGAAATGTGAATTTCAACAAGGCCTTCTAAGAGAACTTTCTGAAGAAAGACCAAATAGAATTGGACCGGGTGCAAAGCATTTCATTGCTTCCATCAATACTCTAAATGAGAGGGGAAAGGGAAGAGAAAAGAAAGAAAAGTATAAAGAAAGTACTCCTTTCTGAGTTTTTCTCTCTTCCTGTGAGTACGAGTTAATACGGACAGAAATAAAGGAACCGGCAGGAGTTATCAGATTTTTAATATGCATGTCCATTTGTCACATATAGCTCTTGTACTCCAACTTAGAGATAGTAGCAAGGAAAAGAAAAGAAGGAGCTGATATAAACAAGGATAGAAAGCAAGATACTAAATCGCACCACCATCCTTGCAGGTTGAGCTGTTAAATCTTACAAAAAAGAGAGGTCAAATCATAGAATTGTTGATCAGGTATAGAAATAAGCTACCTATAACAGGATGTACACAAATCTAGTGATATTTGCTTAGACATTTAACTTACTTGCACTAGGTTTAATTCCTGCTCATTTTGCAAACGGGAAATTCTGGCTGGGGACTTCCATATGAGAACCAATGTATCAAATACAACACGGTTATTTTGCAACCAGCCAGGCATCAATTTCACAAGAGTCTTGATTAAAGCAAGACCCTGGAAATAAGCTTCAGATGCTACGCCTGAAGTGGTAGCTGGCTGAACAGAACTCTCGGCTTTAGGAGTAATAAGGCCTCCATCACCCATTAAAACAGCAGGCGAACTGAAAGATTCCTGAGCTGTTGATATGTCAGATTTGGGCAAAAAATCAGGGAAAGCACTAGCTATTATCTTTTCTGGTGATTTTGCAATTTCTTCTCTCAAAGGTTGGCCAGCATCCGACCGTATTATATACATAAATCTGGGATTGCCAAAAAAAATAGCAGAAAAGTGAACAAAAAATTCTCTGCTGGCAACTTGTAAGTCAACTAGGAAAAGGTTTCAATAATGCTTTTCTACTTACCGCCTGAAGTACTTGTCGCTAGATAATCGAGCAAGAAAATAATCAACAGCAGCTGTGGGATACCGATTAAGAAATTTAGTGAGAGGGAGGCGATATGGACTGTTGATCTCACTATAAAACTGTCCGGGTGGAAGGGCAGCTTCCAGATCAATAGTCAATGACACAAGCTCGTCTAGAAACATCCCAGCCGCAGAAGGAAGCAGATGGAAGAGCTCGATGATAGCTGCAAAATTTCAAGCAGAATCAAAACAGAACATCTATATATAATTATAATGAGCAAATGTTGGAATGTCACTAATAATTTACGGTGGAGCATATCTAACCAGCAGCTATTTTGGGTTCTTCACCAGGTTTCCAAGACTTCTGGCACTGTGCGAGTTTCTCAGGTTCCAACCATTTTTTGAGATGCTCCAACAATTTGCCACCTAAGGTAACATTGAACCAGTTAGATAGAAGCTCTAGCAGGCGGGCCAGACCTTGTAAGAGTGGCATGCTGAGATTTTTGGTATGCGCCAAATTAACCAATATAGGCCTCAGACTGCTCTGGAGAAGTTCTTTTGGCATCCTTTGCTGCTGAATAACCTAAAACATGGTAAAGCAAACAATAATTATATTTAGAGGACTAGCCCTGCACTTAAAATAAATATCACCTAGCAAGCATTTCATAACCTAGGTAGAGATCCATATGCTGTGAAATCAATTTAGCTTAACATTCATCACTCATATGTTTCTTTAGAAGAGAGCATATAGCAATTCTGGGGACTAAGCAGCAATAAAATCCCAAAAACTTATTAGGAGAGGAATAGTTGAGAAAGGTTTTCCTTCTGTTCTCATTTCCTTCTTGATGGATATTGGATAACTATGGACCCGCATAAATGCACTGAAATTGAAAACTACCAAACGCAGTTTTGATCTTAATGAGCAATGGGATAGTAAATTCAAAAATCATGACAGTGAAGTCAATCATTATAATACTAGCCAATCTACATACAGAAATATAACACTAGCATAGTGAATATTTTCTGATGATGAAAGTGCGTAGTAATCAGCTTTTCCACATATAACTCGAACATATCAGAAGATGAACTTTGTTCTATATTTTCATTAATTAAGGTTAGTGGAACATAGTGATAAGGCATCTCCTGAGAGCAAAATACCATTCAGCTATAACCAAGAAATATGAACAGAAAGATTTTAAGTATACATGCACTTTGCTTTCCACCTACAGAAGAGTGACTCCTAACACTGTTCTCTCAAACAAGATCCACAAATATCCAACTTTGTATCAGAATGCAAATCAAAAGCAGGTCCACTCAGAAGATGTTAAACAGTAAATTCTAAAACTTCAATTAAATTAATCAAATGTTTGCTAGAGTTCAGCTTAAAGAAGAAACAGATGTATCACCACAAAAGAATTACAGATAATGACAGCGAACCTGTCGTAGCCCTTCCTTTGCAACGGCAACAATTTCAGATGTCCTGCTTGTCAAGGATTTGAAAAACATGGAAATGATTTTATTTCGCAACTCTGAATGATTTTGGGTTTTGAAGTCTGACCATGACATGGCAGTGCACAAGAGTTCAATGCAAGATGTGCGTAACTTATTCAAAGATGTCGCCACTTTTGGATTCATAAATTTCGCAACCCACACAGTTTCATCAGCCTCTGCTATTTGCAGAGCTTCTTGCAGAAAATTGACAAGCTCCTGAGTTAATTTAAGAAGAGGAGGCCGCAAAGCCAGGCAGAAATTTAAAGCAGTTACTGTTCCAACCTAAAATTTGCATAAGAAAAGTTAGTAATAACTTAATAAAACTCTGATACATCAGAAAATAACCAATTTCACCTGTTGATCCACGGTCTTCGATCGCAGGGGTCGCATGATAAGAGGCTGTAGAAAAGGTTGATACAAAGGTTCAAGCAATTCAGAAACTTCACTACCAGTCCTACTCGCCAAAAGTGCTAAACAAGATTGCACGATCTTTCTCACGTTAACAGATGAGTTTGCATTAAACAATTCAGAAGCTAGATATCCAACAACTCCTTGAAAACTTTGTCTACGTGCTTCACTGTTAGCATCATCAACATTATTCACTACACGAAGAACTTGTGTAAGCACCTGACTTGTCTCTTCCTGTTCTTTAGTAGTATGTGTAGGAAGCCTTTTAAGAACATAAACCAATCCCCGAACAATCCGTACTTGAAAAGCGCATAAAGTTTCAACAGTGACCTTTCCAATCAAAGCACCAAGTCCCATAACTCCTCCAATTTGTGCTTGCCAGGTGCTTCCATAACAACAATGCAGAAGCCGAGGTAGAAGTTGCTCAAAAACAGGAAGTCGCACGCTTGGAGGAGGTGAATAAACCGGACTGATTGAAGGACTGGAAACAGCCATAGGAGTACCAGGACCTCCCCTTGATATAAGCATGTCAGGATGTTTAGAGCGAGCAAGGAACAGAAGTGTCTCAGCAAAAACATTGAGTGCATTTAGAGCAGCTTTAGCGTGCAGTCTATTTTCATCTGCTAGTACTTCAACCAAAGCATCTAAAAATACCAAAGGGTCCAACTCTTTCAGTGAAATACTATTTCTTGGCTTTGAACTAACATTGGAATTGGATGGAAGCATAGGGCCACCAAGTGATGAGACTGAAATCGAATTATGGCCTGTTGGGCTCTCAATGTGAAATATCATAGCAAAATGATGACAGATATGGACAACATAATCATCCTTGGGGTCATGTAAGTCGGGTTCCGCACTTGCAGCTATTATGGTCATCAACAGAATCTTGAACACAGATATCTCGGCCATAAGTTGGGTCTTTGTCTTGACACCCAAGTCAGCCTGCACAAAATGGTTGTAACCCATTTATGGCAACAAATATCATCACCAAATAAAGCTCCATCTAGTAACCCTTGTTATCATATCATACTGTACAGCTACATATAATCATAAAACTCATCTGACAGTTCTAAAATTGAACAAACAACAACATTTAACATATTTAGAGAGAATGTAAACTAAAATCAGATGACTCTTTAATTGTGTAAAATATATTTTTACGCGTTAAGAAGATACAGTAAGCTTAGGCCAACGAAAACTACGACTGGGCTTCACAAAGTAACGAAATATGAATTTAAAGATGTGAAGGCTTAAAGAGATAACTCTCAGGCTATATCAGCATTTTGGTACCAGAAAAATCTAAAAACTCCACCATAAACAGAACAATAATGCCCCATTTTACTTATTGTAAACCATAGATATTCATGGTGGTCAAGAAAATGACATTTGAGAAAGCTGACATATAAAAAAGGATGTGCAAGTAGAAAGCCATCAAAAGCAATAAAACTATAGAGGGAAGATTTAGCTGGTGTAAAAAATAAAACAACAAAAACAGAAGCTTGTGAAGTTAAATTATGATTAAACTACCTTGATATCAGATGTCTCAGATCTCCTCCAAGATGGATCAACTGAAGAAACTAGAAACATTGACAGTTGTCTAGATGTAGATCCATCATCAGTAACTAGTCCAGGCAAATTGAGCTGAGACGATAAGCAAACACAGAGAAATTTAAGAGCTTGTTTCCTATAGAAAGCATCCACAGAACCGTTCTTGTGCATGACAGCTGCCACAGCAAGGCTAATACAACGATCTAAAGGTACCAAAAATGGAGTTGAAGGCTCAAATGTCAGGATTAATCGAAGTCCATGCTCTGGATTGTCCTTGCATTCAAGTGCAAGAGGTTCTTTGAGAAAACGTCTGTTACGACCACCTAATTTGCCAAGAAGTTGCAATGATTTCCCGCCCCAAGGATAGGGTGCAGGCCTCAAATGAGACCATAACGTCAAAATCACCTCCGAGGTAACGTTTGCCATACTTGGTTCCAGAAAATCAGGGTTCAAGCTATCAATCCAAAACTCAAGAGTCCTTAAACCAAGATTGACAAGATCATCACTCCCTTTGAGACACATAACAAGAGGCTTCATTAAACAAGGAAGGTGAGGTAACAACGAACTTAACCGTGCAGGCAACGTCAAGCAAAGTTCAAGCAAAAGTTCCTTCATTTCTTCACCAGTAGGTCCCTCAAGCATGGCCAACAACATATTCAAACAAGACTGCAGTGTAGGAATCAAGTCCCGCAGTAGAAGTTCAAACTTACCTCCACCAAGTGCACTAAACATCATCTGAAGAAGTTGTAAATAACCAATAGGTCTCTCAACCTCATTAGCATTTTTTATGCAAGTTTCCATGATCACAAGAACATGAGGTTGCAGTATACGTTCACATTCTGAAGGAGCCTTCACAATGGCACCAAACAAAAACCGGAAGAGATGCAAAACAAGTTTTGCAGCTGGTGAATCTGGGTGCTTCAGAACCTCGAGTTTGCTGCTCACAAGAAAATTAACTAACACGTCCGCAAATGGGCGAAATACTTTAGGGGTTTGCAGTAGGGTGGAAAAGATGTGGACTAGCTGAGCATTGGAAATCATGCACTCAAACAGCTCTGGCATGCACAAAGAAAACATGTCCATTAAATCTCGTGGTTCCATTATGGCCAAAATATTGGAAAAAAGAGGGGCAATTTCCCTCTCCTCGTCTTTCTCCTTGAACAGCGCCATGCAATGCACACCACTCTTCAAAACACCAGAAGCTTTCCAAACCTATGAACACTCCAAAATTCAGTCAATGACCACAATTGAAGTGTAAGCAAATAATGTACTAAGTGATACCTCATCTTCTCTCATCCCTTTAGACAGTAGCGGTATTGACGAACTTGAAGATGTCGAAGTGAGCACTTGCTGAGGTGTCCCATTTGTGGAAGTTGAAACCTAAATTATTGAAAATGCAGATAAAATCAAACTAGACTTCACACCTAAATTCGACAGTAAGAATATTTCACAAACCTGTGACCGGGGCATATGTGCATGAGTAATGCTCCAAATAATTGTCTTCATTCCTGGAATCATGGCCAATAATTATAAAGACAGGATATACTAGTCTGAGATAACAATGATATATGTATCAAATTTTTATTTATGAAGGGCATCATTTTTATTTTTATCGGAGACCTAATATTCCTGTATTCAAATTATGGAAAATGAAAGAATGGACACAGGATAATTACCCATAACTAAGGTCTTTATCAGATGCTTATAGTCATTGACTTCCTTGGAATGCTCCACAGGGACTGACAAATTAAGGACGGCCTGTTGCAATTTAGTTCATGATCAGAAAAGGACATAAAAGTTAATTTAGGAAACCAAAAGGTAACAAATATACAGAGTGATTGCTGAGATATTTCTGGGTAAACCCTTACTGTCTAGCAGCTAATGGCAAGCTATTTTTGAAAAGGAACAATAATAATGGGGAAAACTCCAATTATATTAAGGTGAGTACCACAAGAAAACGTCAAAAATGTGAATCCTTATATGCAAACTTCATTGTTTGTCCTAGTTAAACCACTATTATCTGCCTTCCACAGCAAGCATACAAAAACAGTGATGAAGATCTTAATCACTTCCTCCCTCCCAACAACAGCATGATTCATTTCCTTTTTACGATGTCCCATAAGAATGCACACTTTCCCAGAATGTTACTTTTATTATTCTTTTCTGAACAAAAGGAAGCACCATTTAAATGGCAATACAAAAAAATAAAATAATATAATTAATCTGCTGAAATGGTAGCCAAACACTATGATTACTGGTATGATAAAAATGATTCCTTGTCCATTAAAGAAAAGATATAATACATAAAATGGAAGCTTATTAGGAACTTAAGAAGGTGCAGATATGAACTAAAGACAATGAAAACAAGCAAACATCAAAATTACCTGTACCGGGACTTCAAGTTTTGACTTCAAGCTAGATCGATTTCTTCCCTCCTCTCCCTCGTCCAGTAGCTATCACCCAAATGAAACAAAACAGCTCAAACAGTAGCATAATCCATAAATAATTACGAAACATACCACTGATTTGAGAAGTCTAATCCTACATTAATCTTCTACAGTCATGTATTTTCTTTACTAAACTAATAAGGGCATTCCATTGGCAAGAGAGAAGCAGACACAAGGGAAAAAAGCAGCTAGTTAGCTTTTTCTCAATCAAGTAAACAATTATATGATGCCATTATCTACTTCTGGCTTTGGAAAGGAGAGGAAGATAATAACACACATGTATATTTGAATTGAGTACATTTTAGAGAATTGAACTCTTGTGATAGTCACATTGTCGAACAGCTTCAATTTGACTAAAAAACAAAGAGAGGGTAAATCAAATGATCCTCTTAAAATAAATCTACCTTTTTAATCGGAATGAGGAACAAGGCATATAAAAGGAAAGAGTATATTTTAAAGCATGAACGTCGAGGAAGGGAGTTCAAGGGTTTTGAACTTCATTTCCTCGAAGCAGCAAAATGGTAGCCAGAGACTAGGGTTAACTACATGCCAGCAACCTTGGCAATACAAATGATCCAAGGTTCAGAGTTTTGGAGGTACAGATATTGCAAAAGATGGTCACCTTTCACTTCCAAGTCCCTTCCATGGTAACCAAATCAAATGATACACTTGGCGAAATTACCTACAGAAAAAAAGGCCTGCTATGCAAGCAAAATTGCTAACGTCGCCAAGGACCAACATAAAACAACAAATCCTCTCATCCCTGTTGCATCGAAGAGTGCCCATGCATTATGATGTGGTTCACAAATAAGGAAGATAGAGATGGGATGCATCTACAATGTGATACTTAAGCATGACCAAGGCAGATACATACAAGGCATTAGTAATAGGTACCTTTTTTTACTTAATTTAATTCATGAATGTAGTAATAGATTTGTATCCATGCTGTCTTGAATAAATGCAAAGAAAAAAGGAATCACTGGATCACTATGGAAATAACTACTTAAAAATGGTCATTATCTGAGTAAAGGGGTGGATTGGGGTAATAGGGATTATTGTTGCTTTGTACTGCTTGCTTCTACCTAAGTATAATGCTCCCCATGTATGAAACCGCTAACATCGCGCGAATTCATGTTACTCTCTACCAAAAGCCCACAATTGGATGAATAAGGAATCTAATCTCCTGTCCAAGTAGAATTGCACGACTCAAGGAGCCCTCTGCATACTAGTTTTCAGCTCCTTTTCTATCATGATGTATAAATTAATATTACTATAAGAAAAAGAACCAAAACACCAGTAAATACACAACCCAAATCGCCCCACTGCTTTGATCACACTGACGATTCTACATATCAGCCAGAAAGAGAGAGCAGCAATGCCATTGCTCTAAATAAAATATTGGAAATGCTCCCTAGTTGCAAACTTCAACCACAAAATAAAGAACAGAGTTGGAGAATATTTCTGAACTTTAATGACCCTAGCTTCAATAAAAGAATATCTCATTAGTATTGCCACCTGAATCAAGGTAAGCGGCTAAGGTCTGTGTCGTATTCCCTATTTAGTGTTGAAAGAGTCGAGTTCTTCCTCTTTTGAAATGACGAAAACAAATAATTTCTAAACCAAAAAAGGATAAAAACGTAACAAGTCAAGAACCAAGAGGCCTTCAAAATCAAAAATAAAAAACTTCACATGTCGCCACTACAAAAAGAACTGCCAAAGATACCCATACCTGAGGAATAGTGCGCTTAAAGGTGTTGAACTTTCCAACAAAAGCATCCAAAATTCGACCCTAGAAAAAAGGTGCATAAGTTTTCCCGTAACAACGATCCACCCAGCACAATATAACCAATCATAAGAAGCTCTTCAAGAAATTGAAAAAAGGCATCCAGAAGAAACATATTACCAACAAAATACGTGCTTCATCCATTGAAGCCTGATCAATACCCTTCTCAAAAATCGGTTCCACCTATTTAAATAGAATAAATAAATATAGCGAGTTATTTGAGATTTGGCTGCAACAACTAAAGACAATAAAATCAGTTTAGGTTCTAAAAAGAATAGTTTGCATTTCTACCAGATTCAACATTAACCGAGCACAGGTAGTGTGAATGCTGAGTGACAGCGAGGCGTCGTGCATGTTGCTAGAGAAAAGGTAAATAATCCGAGATAACTGCACAACATTTACACAAAGAATCAAAGAGAAGTACTGTAGTCAGATAGATACCTATTTCATAGGAAATTTATAGAACTTCTCTATGCAAGACACATTGTAAGTAAAAAGAAATAGATTCTAACAACATGCAACAAAGAGATACAAGTCATGTCAAGAGAATCTACCTTTAATGTACAATAATAGTTTAAAAAATAGGATACTTTCCTAGTTTACATTATTTGTTTGACTAATCTTGATTTGTGGGGATTGATTGAGTGATTAGTAAGAATCAATGTAAGGGGCCGATTAGAAGGGGTTCATGGAGGATAGAAGGGATTAATAGAATAGTCAACTTTCCTTGGAAATAATATTGTATTTTTGTATAAATTAGCTTGTACCGATCATTCAAAAGTAGTCGAATCATTTTTCTCCATATGGTATCAGAGGGTAAACTTTGAAACTCTACTGCCTGCATTGCTGAGAAACTTCTATCGCTCATAGGACTTGATTGCCAAATATAGCATTCCTCCTCCACTTCCTACCCTCACTCAAACATGGCTGAAGCATCTGAAACAAATATTGCTGCTTCAATTATTAAAATACAGTCATCGCAAACCCAACAAAGCTCTAACGGTTTGGAGGGTAGAGGATATAACAAGGAGAGACAGATTCTGAAAAATCTCATAGCTCCTTCGAAAAATCAACATTATCATGTTTATTGCCTCAAACACATATCATATTTATTATCCTCTTAGTTCCTCAAATATTCTCCACAACGATCTTGGGTTATTGACTCAGTCTTGTCCCAGAAAAAAAAGGGTCAAAATTTCGTATGGCTCTTTAGCAACCATTGCTTGGTTAAGGGTGATCTCCTTAACATCACCTCTTTCATTAAAAAATATGTTAAATGTCCATAAATTATGTTCACTTCTAAAATCAAGGATTCAAATTCCAGTGCAACTTTCTACCCAAAGTACTGTATTTTACTCTCCCACCCTCCCTTGAGAAATTCAAGGTAATCCACTCCATTTTATTTGATTCATTCTGATAATTGGGGACCATCTAAAATTCCAATGTTTTCAGAGCAAAGTAGTTCATCTCATTTATCGACGATTGCACAAAAATAACATGATCAAAAACCAATTTGGGGTTTGCATTAAAAACAAAGGAACTGACAACATACAGAATTATTTCAATCAAAATTGTCATACATTCTCTAAAAAGAAGGTACTATCCATCAAATCATCTTGTGTGAATTCCCCACAACAAAATGGAGTAGCAAAACAGAAAAAAAAAGGCATTTACATAAGTTATCCGAGCCCCCTTGTTTCAGAATAATATTCCTAAATTTCAAAAAAAAAATATTCCTAAATCATATTGGAAGAAGTTCTGATGGTAGGATTTTAAGGTTCAAAACCCTATGAGTATCTTTTCTAAATTTTTTTCCAGATTATCAATTTTTTTTTTTTTTGCAAACTTCCCCTAAAGTTTAAATGTGGGTCTCATTTTTCATGTCCAGGGAGCCAAACCATCAAAATGGAAGATGACGAGGATTTGTTCGTTCAACATCTTTCAGCAAGTTCTTCCTCCAAACACCTGTTCATGTGACGTCATGTTTCAATTCTTCAAGACAATGAACCCGAATATGAAATTGCCCAATAAACAGATCCTCTCAATAGTGCTTGTCCAACTACTTCCCAGCCATTTCAAGTGTACTCAAGGAGAAAAGTGCTTATTCCTACACCTATGCAGGTCTAAGAATCCACATACAACTCCAACTACTATTGTTGGTAATCTATGGTTACCCATAGTCATAGTAAAGGAGCCAGAAAATGCACTCAAAATCTCATGTCCATTTCATCTCTCTTAAAACAAAAGCTTCATCACTCAAGTGAATTATGTTCAAATCCCTCGCACTAACAGGAAAATGCCACGAATGAGGAAATGAAAGCACTACATAAATATTAAACTTGGAAAATAGTGGATCTTCATAAAGGAAAAACACCAGTAGGGTGTAAATGTGTGTTTATAATGATGTACAAAGCATATGGGTCTTTATAAAGATATACATAGTTTAAAACGTATATATATTTGGAATGGTATCGTGGAAAGGGGGGAGAGAAGGTAAGTGGGTCGGAAGTGTATATACCTTTCAAAAGGGAGGTTGCTCTCATTAAGTCTACTCTCTAATCTTCCTCCTACTTATTTTTGTCATTGTCCTGTTGTTGCAGTGACAGATAGATTAGAGAGAATTCAAAGGGAGTTTCTTTGGACACGGTTGGGGAAGGAGAGGAGATTTAATTTGGTTAATTGGGGTGTAGTTTGTTCTCCTATAAGGTTGGGGTCATGGATTGTTTAATAAAGCCTTGTTTAGTAAGTGGCTGTAGCAATTTGGAGGGGAGAGGGAGAGTTTTTGGAGAGAAATTATAGGGATGAAATATGGTGTGATGGAGGGGGGTTGGTGTTCGATTGAAGGTCGTGGTTCTTATGGGATGAGTTTGTAGCGGTATATCCAATGAGGGTTAGAGTGATTTTGGGGATATATTGACTTTTGTGGTGGAGAATGGTAATATTATCAAATTTTGGAATGATTGTTGGTGTGGAGATTAACCTCTAAGAGTGGGGTTTCCTTCTTTGTATTGCATTGCTTTGGTGTCTTCTACTATGGTGAATGATGTCTTAGCTATACATAATAGGAGTCTCAACTAGAACATTGTTTTCGAGAGGGGTTTACAGGGCTAGGAATTGGATGATTATGCGTTGTTTTTTACCTCTTTGTATGAGGTGCACATCCAATAGGAGGGGGTGATTATAGCAGGTGGAGGTTGGTGCGAAATGGTATTTTTTCTGTTAGAACTTATTTTAGATCTTTATTGGGACCTATGGAGAGTTAATTCTCCTATAAGATGGAATGGCAATGTAAATTGCCTCCACGGGTAGCATTTTTATCATGGACGGTTGTGAGGGACGGATGTTAACGGTGGATAATCTTCATAGAAGGGGTTTCTTATGTTACCAAGTGGTGTTATATGCGTAAGAGGCATGTGGAGACGATTGACCACTTGTTCCTTCATTGTGATGGTGCTCGTTTGCTGTGGACCAACATTCCGGCTTCTCAACATATAGATTGTGTGTTGCCTAGGCGTATGGAGGATATGTTGTGGGCATAGAGCATATTAGAGAATTGTTTTATCTAACTTTGTATACTTGGTCTAATACTGCGGCTACTAATCCTATAGAAGGGCTGCCTGATTTCATGTTTTTTTTCCTTGATTAAATTGATAATACACTTCATGTGTATTATTAATGAGTGTATTTCACTCATACTTTAGACATTATCTAAACTTGATATTTAACTAATTTCTACAAGTTTTAATGTATTTCACTCATACTTTAGATATTATTTAAACTTGACATTTAACTTATTTCTACGAGTTCTAGAACTTTTAATATGTGTTTTGATGTTGTGATATAGGTTGATGAAATTGAAAGAAATAAGTAAGAGTTGGCAAAATTGGAGAAAATGACTAATTTGTAAGAGATCCAAGTTCGGGGACTAAAGTACAAATACTCAAAAGTTGTGTCGGACCTCAAAATGAAGATTTGAGAATACTTGGAGTCAATTGGATGAAGAAAGAAGTCAAAAAGATCAAATATAAACAAAGTATGATCACACATCATTTGCCAACCGAAAAAGTTACACTCCAGATTTGTAGTCTCATATTGAGACTCATTTTGGACATAGCAAAAGTTTGAATTGGAAAATGATATCTGAAGCAAAGTTGTAGCCCTTTGAGTTATCTTTCCAAAGTATCTTGAATCACTTCAATCAGATATCAGAAGAAAAAGTTAGGATAAAAATATTAAAGGACGCGCAATACAATTTTCCACCTGAAGATGGGGCACTGCGCATTACTGAAATAGCAGAATTCACAGCGCCGCCTGTGCGAGAAATAGGTTTTTTATTTTTTTGGACTCTTTTCTTAGCCCAATACGACTCCTTCCAAAATTTCATGATGATATAAATACAACCATAAAAACCACTTTTGTGGGGGAATTCAACACACAATTGAAGGAAACAAAGTGGGCATAATTCAAGAAATCAAAGGCAAGAACATCAAGAAAGAAGATTGAAGATCTATCAAAAACTAGTTTTTTCTATTCTCTTCTTTATGTTGTTTATTTTGAATTGTATAAATTTCATGTTTCTTATCATGAACTAAACCATTCTTCCAGGGTTTGATTGTAACCAAAACTTGAGAGTATGATTTGAATTTATTTTAGTTATTTCTATGAAATTTTCCATTCCGTTTATTTGTGTTATGATTTTAATGCTTTCAATTAATTGGTCACTAATTGAATGAGTAGATGCTAGTCAATTCTAGCACTCGAGAGAAGGAAATTTAGGTGCAATCATAAGATTAACACAACATAGATTTTATAGGTTTTGAGAGAAAGTATAGGATCTACGAAGTTTACTCCATAAAAGAATCATGAACTTGATAATTTCTAGATTTTAATTCGAAATAGAGATATTGGAATTAATTTCTACGATTAATTTTTATCCGACACTCGAGGGAAGGTAGAATTACATTAGGGTTCTTGGTTATAAACATGAAAAATTGATTAGAGATAACTAAATTTTTGAGAATCATATTTGATAGTTACGTGAAATCATTCCTTAGACTTTTCCATCTTGATTAAATTCATATAATTTGTATTCATTGAATTCGTCACCAAAATTATCGTTAGATTAATTAACAATATTGATTCGTAACTCATTCGTCTAGATAAAATAAAGGCTACATAATTATAGTACTTAGTACAAAATTAAATTACAATTCCTGTGGGTTGGACACTCTTAACTCTATTACTATATTACAAAACTCGACACCAACGCGTGACAATTATCATTTGATTAATAAAATTATTTGATTACATATCAAAAGATAAAGATATAAGTTGAGGATAGTAGCCAAGGGCTATACTTGTGCTTTGGATTATCAAGAAACTTTTAGTATCGTTAAATAAAAAAATAATGAACGTGGATAAGTTCTTTTATCACCGGCAACTAGTTTTGACGGGTATTTGCAACAATCTAATGTTAAGAATAGCTTTTCTCATGGTGAATTAGAAGAAGTATATATGGTGGTGCCACCAAGTTTTGACAAAGTATCCGAGAAAAGCAAAGTGCGCAGATTTAAGAAGGCACTATATGGGTTAAAATGACCTCCTAGAACATGGCTTGGGAGGCTTATGAAGGTTATGTTTCAAACTTGCCTTAGAAACATTAATTTCTTTTGAATAAATGAGCTTGTAGTACAAAGATATAGCGAAATCATTTTTTCTCCACAAGTGAAATACCAACAAAGGGTCATATAAATATAACATTGAGAACAAAGAGTATACCTGGGATAAAGAAAGATCTACCCGCACATGATGAACAATCTCTGCTAGAAGACTATAAGCCAAAGGCCTCAATGTCTCGAAGCAAGCCCGGCCAGTTCCAACTAGGACCCTAACGCAGTTCAATTATTCATTTTAAGTGAATCTCACAAACTATAAAATGTTTAGATCAAAAGGCAACAACACACCATACATAAAAGTTAGGAACTTAACCATCATTGCATCATAGCAAGGCAAAGAAAAAGTTACAAACTAGTAAGAAAATGGCAATCTAAGCCATATGATCTTCCTAAATGTCACAACAAAGTTGAGGAATGTTAAATCCAACAAAGTTGAGGAATGTTAAATCCACCCATCAAATTTCAGTATACATACGATTTCAAACCATATTACAAAAAAAAATAAAAAAAACAGCTCCAACTCATTAATACGAGATGCCACAGAACCAGCCAAATAAGCTCGATTATTAACGAATCAAGCTTTTTTCACAAGTAATCTACCATTTCGTGATCCACCTCTATAGTACATGATAGTGTTGTGTGCAAATGTACTTCTAATTTTACCCACTTAGCACTCGAAGTGCATTTGGAAGGCGATCTAGACCTCCAAACTTTTAAGATAATGGACTGTTATTATTTCATTTTCTTGAAGAAAAGCCCTAGAAAAGTTTATTTCAATATCAGGAACATATAAAAGCAACAGCTATATGATTGACATCTTTTAACTTCAGATGCATACCAAAAGGTACCATAAATTGTATGAACAATTAAAGTTGCAAAGGTGCATAAAATGCTGTCCTTGTTTGTAGTCAAGACTACCTGTAACAGGATCAATGTTTTTATCTGAGCAAATGCACATATCTTCAAAAGTATTTCTTAAATAGAAGCTCTGGAGGATTCTTAGATCATGATTTTCAATTCCACCTCTCCCTCCCACTTGTTCCTGATTTAGGAAGAGGGAAATCTAAACATGAAAATCAATGACACTCAGCACCAACATTACATTTTTGCTCCAATGGATTTACAACATAATGAAGTTTCAACATTTCTTTTTATTCTCTTTTTTGCAAGTGTAAGAAATAAAAGATTGGATTGAAGATTTTGAAATTTGTGTATACAATCTATGTTCAATGAAACAAAATTATTTAATGGTGAATGCAAATAAAATCCAACCAATTACGAACACTGCAATTATCATTCTAGGAAGGACATTTATAAAGGGCACAGCTGAAGACAACATAATTCAAAAATACCCAGAAGCTTCAAAAGAACATTTCATTTCTAGAAATTTGTTCTTGTTCAGAAGCAAATCCAAACACTTTGCATCCTATGCACATAACTGTCCTCTAGACCAAGGGTGTATCGATTTTTAAAAGGCATCTTCATTACTCGCCTCAAGGCAAAAATGCATCCAGCAATGAGGTAGGCCATCAGTTATAACTCAAAACATACTTTAACAAATTGTAAATAGAAGTTAAAATGGCACTAGTCTCCTTTCATTTCTTTAGTAACACAGAATTAAGGTTTTTTTTGTCTTTCCATAATTAAAATTTACTATCTTTTGCTCCTTTCATGCTCATGCTAGGAGGCATCTTTGGTTATTAGACAGTCTTCATCTGTGTGCTTGATTTTTTGCTTCTAGCATATGTAAATTAGAAATATATGGGTAGCTTCCGCACCTCTTTCTTATGCTAAATGCTAGGCCAACTTAACCGGCCAAGGTCTCTACCAGATGTGGTACTCGCCAGTATCTATCCTCTTGTTATGAGCATTACACTTCACGGACCAAACAGAGTGGTACTTCACTTCCAACTTCTGTATTTTTCTTCTACATGTACTTTCACTATTTTGAGAAAACCTTGTGATGTTGATTTAAAAATCAACACTTGAAGGGTAAACATAAGATGCTTTGGTTTAGACTGTCATAGACCGCCCTTCTTTGAATACCTTGCATATCCTTGCACGAAATCTATTACGTGAAATGACACATGAGAGCAACTTACACTCTCTTATATGCCCTTTCTCTTCTACCATGTTCTAGTTTCCACTACTTTCTTGCGAGGGGAACAACAAAATCAAGGTAGTGAAGCACTCATAAGTCAAAATGTAAAGTTAAACATATAATAAAATAAAACCTTTAGTCCTACCAATAGATAGTTCTCTAAAACAATGTTACATTATATGACAGCTCCAACTTGGAACATATTATTAGCTAATATAATCATTTAATCAAAAGTTCCTCCAACATATATATTTCAACAAATGTTCAGTTAAATTGCTCACAAAATGCAAACCTAAAAGAACAGTAACCAAGCTTCTGCAGTCTCTTGATAAAGTTGTAAAATGCATCCTAGATGGTTCCGGTTTGAATTTATATATAATGAGATTGATTTGGACAAGAGGAATAGATACTAAATAATAGGACAACCAGTGATAAGAATATGCCAAAAAAGGAAAAAAAGACACTTCAATGAAAAATTATTTTTTAAAAAAAAGGATTAGCGAAAAAAGTACCTTTCATCCAGAAGGGTATCAATTAGAGGAAATAAACCATGCTTAAAATCTGTCCCGAGAACATATTTTAGAGCTACCAATAATTCCTGGACAAAAAAAAATTATCATCAATTTCCAGGTGCTCCATCAAATATATAATAAGAGAAACTGTCAGGCAAGATATAACCTTTCGAATAGAAACTGAGTCAGAGCAAGTGACGAGCAGATTCACTATGCTTCTGCATATGCTTTCTTCATGTTGCTTGATATAATCAGCAAAGCTCTTCAGCAAGTAAGTTAAGAAAGACACAGTCTGCAAATATGCACAAAAGATTAATATTAAAGCACAATGGATGTGGAGGTGAGGCAGGAAAAACAAAGTTGATAGAGGATAAACTCTTTCTTCAAGCAACGAAAGAATGAAAAACAAATATGTATAAGAAGATGGGCATAAAGCAGAGAGAAAAACAAGTATTTGATCTTCTTGGCTCATCTCAACTTTAAATTCCAAAAACCAACCTATTAGTTTCTTTATCACAAAGGTTTTTTTTTAATTAGTGGGAACAACTCAAATGTATGCTGTCAAAGCAAGCTCTTTGCAAGAAGCAGCTATTGCTGACTCCTGTAGGTTTTGAATTCTAAATGGCCATTCAGTTAACCAGTAAGTCAGCGATAATAATAAAATACTACAAAAAAAAAATTGTCCTCTATCACTATAGAAACAACAGGGTAGTACTCTAGTACGCAATAACACTATTGATACTTCGAGCCTGTAGAAACTAGAAACTACTTCTTGTACATACAATGGTAGAAAACATTATTAGCATGCATTTAGATTCCCTTCTACGTATATTAACAGAAAATTAGTTCTCTGAATATTCCCTCTAATCTGCTTTCTTTAGGGAGCTCCTGCTATCATACCATAATTGTAATCTCTAAGTAGTAAACAATTCAATGAAGAATCAAATACCAATCCAAGCATTACATCAGAAAAATCTACAGTACCTTGACTTGTGCACCCTTCAGCTCAATAAAGTGAGCCTTCAAATGAGGGGGAACCTTCTCCGGACCCTGGACTGATATTGCTGCCACCATCAACGGCAATAGATGTGGAATATTGGTCTGAACAAGACGGCTATACAACTGAAAGAGGAACATAACAACTAACGGACTCTCTGTAACAACCTTAAATGACCTCGTACTTGGATTAAGCTGCCCTGAAGCCCCAACATACCCACTTGAGGTACCTACTTCGTGTGAGACGTCCATTGACTTCACTTCATCGCTAAGGAATGAGGGGCCCACAGACCCAGAGGTTGATGCTGGGGCCGGTGGTGGTGCCACCTCGGCCCCACTCTCAAAAAAATAACTGACAGTGGCCCCAAAATTCTGGTAAATTTTACAGACAAAATCCAAAAACGGTTGAACTTCATTCTCTAATGTTGGCCTAAAGTTTCTAAGCAAGTCAAAGATAATCCTAATGCAAATTAATCCGTTTTCCTCATTATCCGTAGTGAGCACGTGCATTGCAACTTTTAGAAGCTCCTGAACGAAAGGCCTGAGGACCTCGCTGTGAGGAAGGCGGTTGAGGATTTCAATGACAATATTACGAAGCTTGTGCTCGGGATTATCAACAAACTGTGGCTTCGTAATGTTATATAAAATGGCAGAAAATGCACGAAAGTAGCATCTTAAGAAATTTAAGTACTCCCCTGTGTGGCATATCTCCAGACTGTCCCGAACTTCTAGAGCCATCTGTAGCCTCGTCTGAGTATCTGTACAAAACCCAAAAAAAGGACAAACAATTAGTACTCAATTAAAGCACATACACACATGAAGGTAACACACACATAGATAAGGGGAAGAAATTCAGAAATCATACCGAGGTTGGTTTCAATGAGGTGGCGAGAATGCTCCTCAAAATTCTGAACAGGGCTCATGATGAAAAATTGAAGGATAAAAAGAGGACCTAGGGTTTGTTCACAGTATTTTTGCAGTGGACATAAGTACAAGGGGTTTTAATTCAAGTATTGAATAACGGAAGAATTCTATTGACGACGAACGAGACTGTACAAGAGATGGCGATGGAGAAACCGCATGAATTCCTTAATATGGAATTAAACTGTGCAAATTGTAGAGTTTTCAGGTTAGGGTTGGGAATTGAAGAGGGACCGAACTGAAGGGGTTTTTCACTGTCATCAAGAAATATAAAATAAACGACAAGATGAAGAGGAGAAAATATAACTCAAGGTCCATTTTCCAACTTTCCTATTTTGGGGGGGTTAAAATAGGGAGAATTATCAAATTAGTCGGGTCAAATGACTCGTTTGAATTTTTTTTTATGTAAAA